TTCACCTAGAGAACATGGTGAGTTGTTTTTATTAACATATATAATTTTTTTGATGGGGGTGTTTTTAAACAGAGAAATGTTTGCTTTAATATGGGGCAAACAAATGTTCTGTTAATGTGGTTTAATTAGAAGAACTCAAACAGTGAATCTCACAGAAAGACTCAGCCTGCGCTCCTGTCACAACAGTCTCTCATCAGGAGGAGAGAGTTTAGTCACACACCGAGTTGGACAGACCTGTTCGATAACAACGCTCTGAACATATATATTAAATATATAGTTAGGTTCTATAGACTATGGTCTTTGGTAGTTCTGGAGCAAAGTACAGGAGGAGATGTCTGGACTGRTTGCTACAGCCGCTGCTTCAACCTGCACTTTGCCTCTGCTGAAAAMTGCTCTCACTGAAAGTCCCGCCCTGCTCTGCTCTAATTGGATAAAACAGCTCTGGACTTCCACTGATTTGTTGAAAGCAGTGTCCGTTAATCCTTATATCAGGGTCCCACTGTCCTTAGAGGCTTGGTGAGCACCAAACAACAATCCAGTCACACCAGTGCGGCTGGATTTTTTTTTTTTAAGAAATCAGGTCGCATGTGCGACCAAACTGGTCGCACTCTAGAGCCCTGCTAGCTGTTGTTTTGACAGACAATCTCAGCTACGCAAGTGAGCTTTATGACGTTCCATCTGGTGCGCTTTTTCTTTTTTTATCATGCATGTGCAACCCTGTTTATAATTACAGTTTTTGTTCACAAAAGTATACATCAACAACCAAATAAAACTGTTTTAAAATACTTAACGAGGTAGTGGCTTTAAAATTGAGAAAGCTCATTTCTTGTAAATGTTTTAAAAATGTATGTATTTTGACTTTTTTTAAAGACAATGCCAAATAGCCCATAGTAATTATTTACGAAAGGGAAGTGTCCCAATCACATTTAAAATTAATTTTATTTGAACTCTCCACATTTACCATAAAATATGAATTCATCCAGTGATGCTTCTATCGCTTAACAAATTTATTCCACTTGATTTATAGAATACTCACATCAAGTATTTACTTATATAGGTAAAAGTATGTTTAACACTGTTAAAGTACACCAGAATGCAGGAAATGGCRTCTATTTCATTCCAGATGTCTTATAAATACAACAGTATAATGATATCCTAGCTACTTTATGTTCCAGATTCATTGTCCATGCCTGCCTTTTAACATATTTCCCAGAAAGACACATTTGTTGTCACCCATTGTTTACATTAAATAAAGTGCAACATTTTGTTACAATGTGAAAAATGTGGACCTGACTGTTCAGACGCACCTGTGTGTGCTCCTGAATCTTGTGTTCCTCAAGGTCTGATTGGGGAACCGGCTCATGGCAAACATCACAGAGTGCAATGTTTCTTCGACAGTGAATCTCATGGGTTGTGAAGTTGGCCTCTGGAATGTCCCGCTTGCTGAAAATTCATCAACAAATAAAGAACAAAATTAAAAGGTTGATGAAACGCTGTGTTCATGCAAACAATGAAATGTTGCTTATGTTGTAGCTGGTTCATCCTTACCAGTTGCCACAGAACTGTGTGTTTTCATCTGCCATGTCTTTCCCAAACCCTACGAACTAACAGCAGAGTTATTACAAACCCAAATCAGGGCTAATTTTGATTTCAAGACACATTTAATCAGTCGTACATGTGTCTATAATTAGTACATAAGCAGCGTTTGTCGACAGATGGAAGAAACTAGTTCGATCAATTAACTCAATAAGGAGTGTTTAACATTTATAAACGCGAGTTTGGTGAAATATCTGATTCCAAAGCACTAAAAAACAGCTCAGTGAATCAACAGGGTTAGTAAACAGAGAGCTGACTCAGCTTCTTTACAAATGAAGCTGAAAAGACAACATTATCGATAAGATAATATTATCGTTCTACTCTCCCGGTTATTAGGTGAGTTAATCATTGCTAAATGACTAAAACAGTCTATTACCAAAATACTCCCTCGTTATCCTCAACAAACAAGGAGCTGACACAACTTCACGGAGTTTTACATTAGCTTTGTTGTTTTACCCAAACAAGGCTCGCTAGTAAAAGTTGTTTTAGCGTTTACAAACCATGAAGCTACGAAGCTAACAACAACTGTGTGACTTCTTCCTTCGCCCACAGCTAATATAACAGTCATGAGGTTACCTGGTATCAAGTTCTTATATTTTACTTAATTTAGAGACGACAGATGAATTCTTTGACGACAACTCGCCTGAAAAAATAAAAATGAATCAGTCCAGTTGGAGAATTTCCTGTCCTACAACAGGGGCTATTTGTGCCCCAAGTAAAGTCTTTCAGGCTGTCAAAATGTCTAGTTTAATTTGGGCTACAGTCCTCTCTAAGACTATCACAAAACTAAATATTAAATTCAATCCACATTGTCGAAATGTATGTTGATTTGTAGTTAGAAATGACTAAACTGAGAATCCAAAAATAGTTTAAGTTTAAAATAAATYTGCAAATCCAAACTCGGGGCAAAATTACTCATTTCTTCAACAAGCTTGTACATGATTGGCTGATCAAAATCTGTGCAATGAATAATGTTTCGGGTTAAACTGCTGCTCACCGAATACGCGTTCCTCTAAAATATAAAATATTCCTCACTGATAAAATCACAAACATTGTCTAAAATAATATAAAGAATTAAACTAATAAAAAAAATCATGGAACACATTATACAATTCAAAAACATTGTTTTAAAAATATTTTTATACTATGAAATTGATATGTTGATGTATCAAATGCAAAAGTGATTTTTTTTCTATTTTTGTGTTTATGCTTGCAACTAGTTTACTATCATTTTCTAAAACTTTTGTATCTAGTTAAAAATTACAACTAATATTATTACAAAGAAAAATAAATTAAAAGTAGTCACACTTTACAAAAATTAGGTACATAAAAAAGACACCCCAACAATGACCATTCAGTGTTTATTGATTTTTTAAAAATCCATCAATACTGTCATGAGACATTCTTATTTTAATGTAAGGCACAATTTTGTTCAAATAAAACACTGATCTTTATTACATAAAATGTTTGGACTAGGTTCAAATATTCTCTTAACTTCCTTGTCTAAATAACCACACAATCATCAGGCCAATATTGTAAAAAATAAAAAAAGAAAGAAAAATAAACATGAAAAACTTCAATTCACTTCAAAGCCCTTGTTCCTTCTGTTTGAAGGTTAAACTCAGTTTCTAATTAATACATCATTTGTAACCAAAATTCTAAAATAATATTGTGAACAGAAGAAATACATAAAAAGGAATGAATATAAATTGAAAAATAAGCAGACKTGCCTGCTAAATGTTTAACTTAGAATAACATTTGATATTTTGCCAAGCAACAAGTGGACCTTTAAAAGGAAAAAACAAAACAAAACAAAACACCAGTTAAGTGAATTAAACTTTTTTTTAAATTGTTGAAACATGTTTATATTAAAACAGTCTTTTTTAATATGATAACATATTAAAAAAAAACACACACAACTGTTCCCAATTCTTAGTAGTTGGCTTGTGTGATGCATTTTAGCCATTTAATCCAACATAATTGGTTTGATAACTGTTAGATGTAAGTTTGGGTCTGAAATAGTAACAAATCAATGTCCTKGATCATACTTTAGAAAACTAAACATTGAGGAGGAATAGTAGTTGCATCAGCTTTTAAAATGATGGATTAATTATGCTGTTGTAGCTACAGAAAAACCATCCATGGATATCCAGTAAAAAGTGATTAGTGGTTCCACAACACAGAACTGAACTGAAATAACTGTAAAAAAAAATTAAAAGTTTACATTAATTAAACTCATCATTCTGTTCATATGATTTCCACTATAATTGTTCTATTTATAGGCTATTCAAACAGGCTTTATGAACTCTTGATAAGGAAAATAGTAAAACGTATGGGTAACAATATGAGTACTATTTCTCATTTCTTCTTTATTCAGAAAACGTAMTAAAAAGCTTTATTGCTCAACCAATCTGAAATACCAAAAAGTCATCGATGGTGGCCTATTTTCATTGAGGCAGTGTCGATAAAGAAACTGTTACTATGTGTCAGTGAGCTATACATATTGTATAAAATTTAATGTGCTTTTTTGCACCCGCCTTCATTTATTGTGTTGTCACGAGTGCATAAGTTCACCCCAAACCTCTTTTAATAGTACTATCATGTTTGCAATCCTTCCTGCTTTTCAAAACTGTACACAAAAGACATAAAAAAMCCAAAACAAAAGTTGAGATATGTGGTCAGTCACTATAATTCTATTAAACAAAAATGAACTCAAGGTAATTGGGGGTTTCAACCATCAAATAGCATCCTCTGAAAGAAGCTGCTTTTTACKTGGTCCAATTTAAAATGTTGTTTCTAATACGGTGAAAAATGTGTCTTCTTAAATACACTATTCTATATTTTCTAGTGAGGATAGTAAAAAAAGGCTCAAAGACAGCGTTCAACAAAAAAAGGAATAAAAGAAGTACAGTACAACCRTTCTGGAAACACAGAGAAGAAGGCACAGATGTTTAAGAGCTGAATATAGAAATCACAGAGGTAGAAGATAAAAGAAAAAGCAAAAAACATTTTTTGGATTTTTTTTTTGTTTGTTTTGTTTAAAAAAGGGAATGGATGATGAAATGTCTATCTGTCCTTGGATCCAAGCTTCTCAATCAGGTCCTGCAGGGGAGCAAGCTCTCGCCTGTCAATGAGGTTGAACTCCTGGAAAGCAGACAAATGTAAAAAAAAATATGTTTAACATTTTAGCCTCTAAACGGGTTTTGAGTTTCATGTTCTGTGTTTAGAATTAAAAGCTATTAATACACAATTTTTAGGTGAAACATGAGTACTATTTACTGCCACATTTGAGTTTTTTTCCCATTAAAGGCAGGAAACAAACTTAGGCCTAAATTATCAGGTCTATAAATTAAATAAATCGTAGACAAAAATTACTTTCCTTAAACAACATGATCTATCATGATTGTGATCAGAGCTGCTTTTATTCCCTCATAAAACGTACCAGGCTTGTTTTAAAGCCCAATCTACTGTGCTTGCTCAAAATGCAAACACTGTAGTAACACTCACAGCTCCACGGTAACAAAATGTGTCGTGTGAATGTTTGAAACCAGATGTAAACAAGCTCGGAGGAAGAGCAGGGCCTCGTGCTCAAGAGCAGGTTCAACATATTCAAATAAAAATAAATTTAAGAGACTACATTTGATTAAAACAAACAAAAACACAACTAATTCTGCAGTAGAAGATAAGCTTTTAAAAAAGCTACAGAAGACGTGTCCTACGTCTCAAAAATATTTCTCAGCATTAAATCCCTACATGCAACTTTAGACACTTCAACCTCACACTTCAGCGCAATAATCTCACCTGGACGAAGAAAATGAAGTGCTTGAAGGAGGTGTTGAGGTGAGCCTCCTCTTGCAGCTGCATCACAGAGTCAAAATGTTGGTGGTAGATGTGAGCGTAAACCCTGAACAGACGCTTCAGGATGGTTTTGGCCACAGACATGAAATTCTTGGGAAAGGGAACTCCTATGGGACAGAAGGTGATGGAAAAAAACTGATGTCAGGAGCAGAACAGGAAACATTTTAACAGTGAGTTTACGGAACATACGCTTCTAGATCTGTTTTTTTTTAATGGTTTAGGAGCAAGGCTGAAAAAATACCTCAAAACTCTTTGATTTTTATAATTAATAATTAGCATACTTGGACAATAGAGTAATGAAAACACGATAACTTAAAGAGCAAGAGTAGATTTCTTTAACCTCCTCATTACACTGAAGCCTAAAATCTATCGGTGATTCCCAGTTAAATTTCAAATAATAAAAAGTAAAACCAGAAAAACCGATTTACATGTTAGAACGTAATGAAACTTGAATTGATGAAACATTTACGACTACTCAGTTTTTTCTCTTGACACACTTCTGCTCTGCAAAGGTGAAACTGAAAGTAAAAACCGTTCTTTATGAAAGCCCTGACTAAACCAAACTCACCAATCTTAGAGGGGAACAGGGTCTCATCATCCAGCTGATCCTGCACCCAGGTCATCAAGTAGTCAATGTACTTAGGCGCAGAGCATTTGATTGGCTTTTTAATATTGGTGCCATCAGCCCAGTGATATTCATACCTACACAAAAACACAGACATATAACGTGCAATCAGACAAAAGCAGCAGAGAAGTAAAGAAAAAAAGGAACATAGATGAAATGCTGTCAAATGTCTTGTTCATGACATCAGGAAGTAAACCTGCAACTCTTCCTCTTGATTAGAGCCAGAAGATAAACAGTCTTGGAAGGAAAGAGGATAGAGGAAGTGCCAAATCTAGATACTAACTAAACAGCCTCTGCAGACAGACCACACGCAAAGCTTATTTCCTGTTTTCCTGTTACAAGCGAAACACAAGTCGGCGTCCCTGACAAAACATCACCCGGTTTCTAAAATCAAATAATTTCTCATAAGCATGACACTGATAAATTAGAGGAAATGTAACATTATCGAGTCAGTTTCACAAGGCTTCATTCCAACTGTTGCAACACTGGTTACTTCTGGTTTAGAGTGAACTTTTACAACCTTTTAAACGTGTCAGCTGACATCGCTCTTCCTGTCTGAGAGCACTGAATTCAACATGAAGTTTGTTGAACTAACTTTAATTTAGAGCATTATCTGGGATATTGTTAAAATGTATTGAGTCCTAATAACTGACACAGACTGAACAGCTCCAGTTTAAATTGTCTTTTCATGACTCTAAATAAATAAGCTGCTTCATTCTGGGTCTTTGGTATTGAAGGAGGATGTTCACTCTACACTACAAGATTAAAGTGTACAGCCACGATGCTTTTAATACTACTAGAAATACGGTGTTAACTTTTTAAATCACATCAGGAATAATTCAAATTACAGTAATACTAAAAAGTGAAGCTGATATTACTCCATAATTAGTTTGTTGCTTAAAATTTTGACTCTAATTCAGAGAAAAAGACACAGCTGGACAGGCAGATAGCTTTGTTGCTAAACATACCACTGATACTCAATCACTGTGAATCAACACTAAACTATGTTGAGGCACAGATGATGCAGGACTAACTAGTGGACTAAAACAAGATCTGTCTTCGTCAAACCACATTTAAGATGCCTCCCAGGTTACTGACACAGTGAGTAATATTGTCATTTTATTGCAGGCTTGAACAGACTGCTTCAGACAAGGTTGTACTTCAGGTTCACACGGTCATGGTTGACTTGACTGAATACAAATTTGACAAAGTTATGCTCTTTAGGAAATGCTGGTTTTAAAGGAAGCCAATCCCTCAGGAGTTATGGGGCAAATAAGTTCTACTATATGAAGCACACTCCTGGTAACAACAAGGACTGTTTGTTTGTTTTACACTCATCATAGACTGACAATATTAAAATAAGAACTGTTGGAATTATTCTTCTTTTAAAATGTGACCGTGGTATAACCAAGACATGCTCATCCGAGGTGTACAAAAGGTCTCATGTTAAAAAAATAAAATAAAAAAACAAATGCACGAGTAAAATATTACTGTTTATCACCTTGGTCCTGCAGACATCACAGAGCAGCTGGTCTCAGTGCAGAACTCAGTGATGGTGCCATACAGCATGTTGATCTGGTTGAAGAAATCCACCGCTGAAGGAAAGAGGAAATTAAGCTTTTGTTATACTATTGTAGAGATTAATTTCTTCTAAATAAGGCTGCGTGCTGAGTTGTTTTAGTATCTGTGTGGCACAATAACACTGTACAGAAAACATCTTTAAATGCTCCTGTAGCCAGAGCACTGAGGAGGAAAAAAGCAAAAACCTCAAGTAGGGGAGAGTGCAGGAGTTTTGATTCCACTGGGTAGGCATTAAATTTAATCGTTTTATGATGTATTTTGTTCTTCTTTTTCTTAATAATTGAACCGTAATTTACAAATCTGTTCCAAAAACATCCTAAAAATGCATTTATGTTTACTAAAAGGCATCCATTCATCCATCCATCCATCCATTGGGGTGCAACAATACATGTACCTGTATCGAACAGTTCAATACAGTGCTTTAGGTTCAATACACACTTGTATCGAAAAATACAGATTTTTAAAATTTATTTTATCAACTTGTCTTCTAAAAATGCTCTGTGTTGAAGGATCAGTGGATCTGTGTTCGACTACTCCACCTAGGCTGCATTGT